TTTAACTCAAATCCCAGGCTAATACAGACCTGAGCTTTGCTGGCTCTCTGAGTCACTGAGGCAGGTAAAGCCTCTCAGCAGACTTTTTAATGCAGGAGACAGTATCGTTTCTAATACAGAGAACAGCAAGTTCCAGTGAGACCCTGAAGGAACAGTGAGTTCTCTGCACAGCAGCCAGAGCTCTGCTAGCTGGGGAGAGAATGTGTTACTGCCTGAAAAGCAAAACACATCTGTATTCTCCTTTGTGCAGCATCATTTACTTTCACTCAGGCACATACAAACAGATTATAACTCTTTCAGATTTACAAAAGGAAACCAAGGCAATCCTATCCTTGACTCCGAGACTGTGAATAAGTTCAATCAACCTGCACTGTTTTTGCTGGAGTCTTTTCCTTAATATACACAAACATAAATGCTCACTTGATTTGAATGACATGTACAACTTTGAAGTGTGTATCAGTACACTCACTGTACTATATTTTTCAGAAAGTCAGTGTAGCAACATTACACAAGCATGCCAAATCTGCCTCATTAATAATGCTACCTGAAAATTTTTCTGCTCCCCTCAGGGCTAAGCTGTATCACACACTTTGTTTTAAAGTATAAAACAATATTTTCAAGATGCTCTGAAGATACTCATTTGAACAGATAATTTCAGTTTCAATGTTCCCACTTCCTTACTTTTGTTTCCTCCTGTTGCCAAATAAGATTGGAACTTTGTTTTTTTTTTCCCCTGTAGATTTTCTTCTCCTCTCCTCTCTCTATAAACTCAACAGCTTTGAATGTGATGAGTGCTCTGCCAGAATACATATATCACAGATATATCTATGCTGTCTTAAGAGGGTATAATGTGTTATTGTTCTGATGTGGTTACATTCTTTTTCCAAGGCTGTTTTAACTCCTAATGATCAGCAAGGAAGAAAGCAACACTTTGCCCATTTAAGAAGAAAAAATACATATTTTATTTGTCTTCAGCTATTTGTTTTCAAACTCTGGAAAAATCTTTACATTGCACAGAGTTAATTTAGGAATGCAAATTGATCACTGTAAAAAAAAAAAAAAGAGAGAGAGAGAGAAGTAAAAATTCAGTTTGCTTTAGGCAAAGATCACATATTCTGTGTGTGAACTCTGGATTTCTTGTTATTAGCTCATTATGCTTTGTAACGTAAAAGCACAACTGTGTTAGTACATTCTTCCATGAAGCCAAAGCATTTTGAATTTGTAAGACCAAGGAGTACAAGAAAAAATCCAGGATAAGCAGTGATGTTCTGTAAGTTACTCGCTATTATAGTTCAAGTAATATAAGTTATAATTCAAGTAATTACATTGTGAAAGCAGTGGAAGACCTTGCAGTTCCTTTACGTATTTTGGCCTGTGCTTAACTCCCAGTGCTGCCATGAGTTAGTGGAAGAAGCAAGGGCCCGTGCTAACTGCCCTGCTAAGCAGTTCTTGCATTGCTATGTGGTTTTGTAGGATCACTTTTGTCAGTTGTCTGCATAAAGGGCAGTGCCAAAGATGGGCGCATTTCTTCAGAAAAAAAAACTGTCTGTTTTCAATTTTGGGATGAAGGCTTCTTCCCAGGGCTGACATCTGGCACACTGAAGCACAAATGGAAAAAAAATGCTTTACTGGCTCCAAATGGTTTACAATTAACTGCCGTCAGGAGACCATAACACAGACACAAAGCAGGATTCTAGTGCTGGACTGAGCAGACAGATATGAAAATTCGTAAGCTAAATGTTTACGGAAGAATTTTCCAAAGCACATGGAAGTTTTTACATAAATTGTCTTTCTGGAATGGACACCTGAGCTTACACTGATAATTCAATAGCACAGCATCACAGCAAACTTCAGTTTAAAGGGGATTTTAGTTCTTCCAGCAAACTTCAGTTTAAAGGGGATTTTAGTTCTTCTGATAAGTTCTTCCAAATTACATATGAAAGCATTTCTTCATCTTTACCTTGCATTCCGTTAGTAAGGGTCGGGGTAGTAGTGATTCACAAATTATAACATGAGCTTTTTTTCCTTGAATTTATACAGAAAAGTCTGTCATGTTCTAAACAAGAATGCAAATCTAAGTCTCCACTAAGCAGCTAGGAAAAACTTTTTTGAAGAGTTCTTAAAAACACAGCTGTCTGGACTTCCTAGAGAGGATATAAAACACTGGAATGCTTAGTTAACAAAGCAGGGGACAAAGTTTCCGTCAAGAAAAGCATGTGTAGTCCAGCAGGCACTGAACTCAGAATTAGGAAAGCTTATATACATGAAGGAGTACAACATTCAGTGTATGCAAATTCTCCCCTAATCCTGAAAAAAGACTTGATTACTCTTCTCACAACATATCCATGCTGCTTCTGGATCGAGCCCTAAACTCCAATGTCCCACTTCTTTTTCTTTTCCTTTTCCTTTTCCTTTTCCTTTTCCTTTTTCTTTTTCTTTTCCTTTTCCTTTTTCTTTTCCTTTTCCTTTTCCTTTTCCTTTTCCTTTTTCTTTTTCTTTTTTTCTTTTTCTTTTTCTTTTTTCTTTTTCTTTTTCTTTTTCTTTGTATGGCAAATACAATGGCATGGAACAGATATATCCCAGGGTTTCATTCCTCCTTGAGCTGCTGACCTGCCATGACTTGCCCAAGGTTATGTTTAAACTGTGTGTACTTCCATCCTGTGCCTACCATCCTGTTTGGTTTATAATCTCGTAAGGGCAGGGACTGCCTTTTACTACTTGTTTGAACAGCATCCAGCACAAAAGGGCTTTGATCCAGCCTGTAGGCACTGCTTGCAGTACGTTAGATTCCAAATGTTACATAGAGAATTCTGTATCAAGAAAGGTCTGGTACTGAAACAGTGCATGTACTCTGCTCCATGCAGCCAATTTTCCACACCACTCCTCTTGACATTGCACCACACATGTTGCTTTAAAAAACTCCCTTAAAAAATTAATGCTTTTTTTCCCATAAGTTAATGTATCTCATTTTTGTTGACCTCATATAACATAGCCATATTCAGACTTCAATAACATGACTAGATTAAATAACATTCATTTAAGGAAGTGGCAAGTGTCTTGACAGTTCAGCCCACACCACCTTGTCCAAGTTTTGCATATGTCACAGAGAAACAACGCTAAAACAAACTTTTCACGACTTGTGATTTCTTATTTCAGAACTATTCATAGAGCAGATTTTACTATCATTCGTCAGCTCACTAATTGCATACCTTCCCTGTAAAATGAATTTCACTGTGGTTTAGGTTTTGTAGTACGTATGAAAGTAGTGTAGCTATTTACTATACCTGACTATTAAGGTAAAGCTGACAGAAGTTATCACAAATATTACCTGCATGAGCAAAACACTTTTTGTTCAACTTCATAAAGTGATTCAGAGAAATTAGTTTATTTTGCTGAGCCACATCCAATGTAAGTACTTTCAGTGGTATCACTACAGAATTGACTTTCATTCTGTGGTCTGCTGGATTCTAAGAATCGCTATGCAAGATGTGCAAACAGCAACACTGTGTTTGCTGCAGGACGGCGTAATTGACCTTTTGAAGAAAAACACACGCGCATCTTCCTTACAAACAGCTCAATAAGCATAAGGATACTAATACAGAAGAAATTGTTTTGCCATAACCATAAACTCAAGGGTTAACTCTTCTATTTGTTTTAGAATTTGAAAATGTAACCAAATACTGTGTGAAATTAGAATTTTACAATAAGGGATAACTGAATTGCCAATACTGCATTCTTATTTTTCTATTACAGAAGAGCAAGGTTTGCTTACAAAAAAGACTTTACAGAAATTTTGCAAAAGCATCTTACACCCCTGGAAGCTATCATATTCACTGCATAGAGCAAGTCAGCTCTCTGTGAAACTTTTGCTGTTTTGAAGTTATTTGCTCGCACAAATCCATCTGAAAAGTTACAGCTTCAAGAAGGAAAGCTAATAAGAAATAGCAAAGGCTGCTGTCCTGCTAGCAGAAAGTATGCAGTTCTTAGCAGAACCCAAGCTATTTACCCACAAATGCTAGCTTTATTACACCACACAATGAAATGATGTTTCCAGTGGAAAAAAAAAAGCAGCACGGAAAGTCCTTTAGGTGAACTAATGCATTTATAGCAATGGATATGACTTTGCAGCATTTATGGGAGAGGTGTAGAGCTCCAGATTGGTAGCTTTCTAATTTCTGATTTAAATCTACAGCTCTATTGTTTTAAACCTCAGTCGACAGGAAACCAACCAGGGAGTCACTGTGATAACTCCGTCAGATTAAACTGCAGATCCTAAACAGCATTTCCCACTGGCTTCTAATTCACTGCGAGGAGATTTTGTTTTTAAATGTGTGAACTCCAACATGCTGGCATTAAGCTTGCTACAAAAACAACCCATACAGCTTAAGAAAAGCACTACAGCACTGCATGAAAAAAAAAAAAAAAAAAAAAAAAAAAAAGGTTTAATTAGGCTATATAATTGTTTAAAATACCAGATGTTAACACCACTGTTTTACTGCTTGTTTTATTTCTGTTTCACTGTTTTGTTTTTTATCTCTGCTCTTATGTAGGGAAGATGGGGAGGTTGGGGGGGGGGAGGGAGGGAAGTGTTTGTTCTTTATAATAGAGTACACCGAGAATTTTGAGCATTCCTTCAATAGCTCAACCACAATTGCTAGTATACAATGTACAAACAGTACAAAAGCATAAAACACACCATACGCCTTGATTAGGCATGAGTAAGCTGTAATTGCAGCATCACTATATTTTACTGTAGAAGAACAAATACTATGAGGAACAAACACAGCCCGTTTCAGAAATGAATGAACCCCAACTCCAGTGACCACATGCAACATGAAGTGATGTTAACCCTAGCAAGAGAAAAGCTACAAAGATAACTGTACATAAGCTGATACAACAGAGAAGTGCAAATGTTAGTTGCTAATGAACTACATTCTAAACACGAGCATTCTTGTTTACAGTGTATAATTAACAAAGTTGAAAAAGTCAAAATTACTCACAGAGTCCTGAAGATGCAATAGCAAACTATCTAAGACAGGAAATTCCAGGGCAATATTATAAAACAAGTAGGAATAAACATGCATGAAGTCAGGAACTGACAGGCCTCTGGATTACTGCAACTGTAGGAATCATGCTCATGCATGCTGGCTATAATTTATGAAACGGAGCCCAGGAAACAACCAATCGGTTAGCTCCTCCTAACAAGTCCAACTGGCTACGAAAAGCTGGAAGTGCGGCACAGAACAATGAAGGGGAGCTATCCCACACATTAATCTGCTTATCTGGGATTGCTTTCTGTGTGGAGAGGGAAACATGAAACAAGGAGGAAAAAGGAATATCACAGCTCCGCAGTTGAAATAAACAGGATAAATTTCAGTCAACAGGCAAATCTTCCGTTGTATTCAGATGCCTAGTATTATATTCAAATATTCTGCTATCAGATAAACATTTCAGAAGAGAATTGTCCTTAGGTGGACAGGTGATTTTTTTTAATCCTTTTTTTTTTACACAGTATTGGGAGAAACATATGTAAGCTGGATTTATATTTCCTATGCGATTGTTCTGGTGCTCTCCTGCTCTTAATTTGAAGATAATGTTCCTGCTAAATGTGAAAAGCCCTTCCATAAAATCTGATTAAAGTAAGATGTTTTTTTTTCTGACCACAGGTGGCTGCTCAGTGCACTAATGAGTAGCCCTTACCAAAAAGCTGTCTGTATGGTCCTATTTCAAAGTAATGCAGGGTTTCAGATTTAAAGTACCATCATTTTCCAGTAAGCAAAGAAAAGGAACAAGAACATGTCTTTAAAAGTAAATAAATAAAGAAACACTTTAATGAATGTTTCTAGGACAGAACAGGATTTTTACACACTGAAGGATATGGAACCAAATTTGGCCTTCTTGGGAAATTCCATGCTTTTGAAATGTAGCTTTGATCAGTTTGAAGCAAACACACATCTGACATTTTCTACTAAATAACTTCTCTTAAGTGTTTGAAATTGACATAAAACATTTTATTCTTAATTCCAATTCTATAGACATTATAAAATAAAATTTGTAGTTTTACTTAAAAAAAATGCATAAGGATCTGAGAAGATGAGAATCAGATTTTGGCCTTGCAGAATAATCTTCCTGTACATGCGTCCACTATATTCTCCAAGTTGATAAATTTCTATTTACTCTTAATGAAGCACGAGATATTTTTAAACACAAGAAAAACCTATGGTTATTGAAAAGAGCAGTCAGACTGTTATGCAGAAACCCTAGTAATACTGAATGAAAACAAAAGTATGCTGGGGTGAGCTAGCATGAATTCTGAAAGAATAGAAGTCTATGTTTGTTGGTTTTGTTTTATTATTATTATTATTTTTGCACAGTTATTCTTATAATTTCTTCCCTTTTCTCCTTCCTCTTGGAATCCGTGCTTTACAGCAATTGCAGAAGCTTCCTTGGTAAAGCATTTTTTATAAAATTCACTCTACTCTTTGCAGCCATGACACCCATATTTGACAGCTTCTACTGGTATTTTGCTGCGTTAGGATTTTACTCAGAAAACAGTTAGTAGCCGAGATGACCATCTGGACCACCTTGTCCTGCTGGGCATCATTACTCAAATTAGAGAAACTGAAGCCTTTAATCTCATGAATAAGGTCTTTTTGCATAACTAAGCGGTCTCCTCCCCAGGTCTCCAGTCTATCACTACATATAATAACCATGAGCCATTTCAGCATTATATCCTTTTAAACTGCTCTGAAAAATTGCAGTACCAAATTTTTGATGAAAAATTACTGTACCAAACTCCAACAAGGTGAAATTTAGCAATTAACTAATGAAACAAACATTCAAAGTGATATTCTGTTATCTAGTTTCAATTAACGAAAACAAATTGTGCAGATTTCTGAGTAATAGTTAAAAAGAAAAGCTTTCTGCAAAGATTCAATTCCAGAGAGACTCTGGAGCACCCGCCTCCAAAGAAGAGCATGTGGAGCAAGTGGAAAAGGTAGTTTACATAAAAGTATATTTTAAAGCAGGGGTAATATTAATCAACTGAACTAAGAAAATTGGCAATATTCAATATTCTAGTTATACTGATAGGATAGGTAGGAAATCATCAGTTGTTCATACCCACTAGTAAACTTGTCTCCAGCCTGAATTGGCAAGTACTAGAAAAATTTAGAACGGCTTCTCAGACTTTCGACTTGAGATAACCACTTCTGCAAGTCGCATCTCCAATTTAAAACAAAAACAAATGGCAACAACTAAATACACAAAAAAGAAACCAACCAACCAAAAAAAAAAAACCACCTATAAATTTCAGTTTCAACTTTCTGGTGCCACAACAAGAGCAAAATAAAGCAATTATGGGCTGGTTTGTTTCCACAGTGACTGAAGAACAGCTTCCACCAAAGAAGAACATTTGTTAATCAAAGGGATAGGTGAATATATTTATATACACATACGCATGCTAAGTATTTGCATGCTAACTCAAACAGAGCTCTACTTTTCCAGTACATACCCTATGTATAGGTTTTGCAGTCCTCCCACAGCAGCCTCTGAGTTTGTGGTAGGATCTGAAGGTAGAAAGGGCAAGGCTTTCCCCACCTCCCTGCCAAAAGCATCCCTTTTAAACCTTTTGATTCTTCTTATAGCTCTCGAAAATTCAAAATCAAAGGCGCTATCTCTAGTTCTCTCAGTGAAGAAATCAAAAGCACATTCTCACTCATACCTCCAGAGAATGACATCTTTGACTTCCCTTCTCAAGGTCACAAAAGGCATTAATTCCATCCGTTTCCACCAGTGCAGGAGACGTTCAGCCTGACATCCGCACTTGGTGTTTTGAAAAGAAAATCCACTGCAGTACTAAAATAAATTGGCACTGATCCCTTATTTACTGTAAACTCTGAATAGTATCCCTTTGCTACTTTATTGGAGTTACATTGGTAACCAAATAATTTACTGAAATGAAATCCACATCAAAGAAAAACTTCCACTGAATACTGGAATGTCAGAGCTAAGGAGGTAAAGTTAATCCTTCAGTACTTAAGATATCATATCCATGGCATTTCATTTTTTCCTATCTTGTTAAATTATTCACCTCCATAATGGGAGCTTTCTGTGCATAATTCTTTCTCTCTGTCAGAACTCCCTGATTTATTGGGCTTCTGGACCTGCTATACAGATATCAATGTCACATCTGCTCAGAAAGTCAGCAGTCTTACAGTAATGCTTGCCTCTGCCAGTTTTTATGAGGTTTTCTATGCTGCTTTTTGGGGGGGATTGGGAGCAGGGAAAGACAGTTAATGGTTCACCCACAAACCGTTTATTTCTGTCAACATTCAAAATTCTTCTCTTAGTTGAAAACCTTAAAGGCACTGCTGCTTACAGCTTAGAAGGAGAGCATATCCAATAGAAGCTTCCACACTTATCTGCCTGGAGGTTATTCTTTCTGGCAGACTGAAGGGTAATCTTATTTCCATAGGTGGAGTTGTCTAGGCACAGTAGACTTCAAACATTAAAATGACTGGAAAAGTCAGGCACACCTAGGTATGAGTGAGGCAGCTTGGCATTGGCAGTTGGCTCTACGGGGAAGTGCTAATGGAGTCTGCATCTCTCCTCTGCTAAGTCAGAACCTGTGAAAAAAAGGCTACTCATGTCAGTGGCAATTGGGTTGTCCAGAATGCAAAACTGCATTCCAAAATATTTCAATTTTCTGAGCATGCTTTCAACCTCAGTGTGGATTGTGCTGCTTATCTCTTAGGTTTCATGTTTCTTTACTCCTGCAGTTGCAAGTGTGTTTTAGATGACCGGATATATACAAAGTGAAACATTCACACTATTTACTTGGTCCTGCAGAAACTATTTGTGCTTAGCTTTACTAGGCTTACTTGCAATCCATGAAGCTCATACAGAAGTAATGGTTATTATTTCTCTGTATGGACTAGCTATATAAACATGAAGTATACATAAAGAGTAAACATAAAATCATCCCTTGCCAGTCAAATTTACAAAATACATTGAAAGAAATACATATTGCTGTTTCACCCAGTTCTAATAATGGCAAGGAAACATAGTAGGACAGGATTGGAAATTGAAATTCTGAACAATGAAGGCAGAGAATTACAGCCTGTTTACTAAACAAATTCTGTTTACTCATCTGATTAATCAGCAGGTATAATCCACTAGAGAATGTTTCATAAGGAATAGTGTTTCTCTGACAATATTAGAGAAAGAGGGGCTTCAGTGACTTGCAGTATAAACAAACATACAATAGTTTAATAAACAAGAGTTGTTCACGTCTCCAGACGCTCATTTTACTTCATACAGTAGCAATGCCAACAAATACTAGACCATAAAAGATAATTGTACTCTATATGGTAGTTTTGTGAGGAAATCTTTTGAACAGCACACAATAAACATGGAAAATATGCAAAGAATGGAACATATGATCCGTGAATACACTTCCTACGTCAGAAACAGAAGGCCTTCATCCAACATGTAATGGTGATGATTTAGTAAAACGTTATGTAAAAGAATTTGAACCTCATGCTTACGGTAAACAAAAGTAACCTCTAGTTAAGGTTACACTGTGTAGCTACAAAAACAAGCAGGAGAAACAGAATACACAGAGCAGATATTTTTGAAAAAATTCCTGTGTGTGCATGATCACTTAGTGTCCTGAGGAATCATTTGTATTAGCAGTTCAGACAAATGTGAACAAACTTAATCAGTACTGAATTCACTATTAAATGCAGTTAACTGACAGCTTCAGTACAGAAGTAATACAAGCAGTTTTCTTAGTTAATCAGCTATCCATAGGGGCAGAATAGTGCTGTACATCTGCAGTGCTTGCAGACCTTAGTACAACGGCTGCTCCAAAACCACTGTTTCCTATTTTGTTACACTGGCCCACAGTGTCAGAGGGGGATGTTGGTTGCATGGCCACAGAGGCTGAACATTGCTGCAAGTTTTCCATTACTTTTTGTTGTCGTGTGACAGGTGGCAGCAGAAGGGCAGTCTGATAGAACGGCATCTGATGTGGAAGTGTGTATGAAGTACAGGTGTATCACTAAACTTCTCCATAAGGAAAAAATTGCAGCACTTCAACAGTGGTGACAGTGATGTGAAAGACA